AGTGATCGTATTGGCTCCTCGTGTAGCCAAAATCCTTCATAACCTTATCGAATCTCAAGTACCATTGCCTCGGTGATTGCTTTAAACCATATAGGGATTTGTTGAGCTTGCAGACTAGATTCTCCTTTCCTTTCTCTTCGTATCCTTCAGGTTGACTTATGTAAATTTCTTCAGACAGATTTCCATGCAGAAAAGCAGTTTTTACGTCTATTTGTACTAACTCGAGATCAAAATGCGCCACTAGTGCAAGTAGAATTCGAATGGATGAATGTTTTACCACAGGAGAGAAGATTTCATTATAATCTATTCCTTCCTTCTGAGCGTAGCCTTTAGCTACTAATCTGGCTTTAAATCTTACTGGACTTGCATTATTTATTCCATCTTTCTTTGCATATACCCATTTGCATCCAATGGCCTTCCTTCCCTTAGGTAGCTCCACTAGATCCCAAGTTTTGTTCTTCTTCAGTGACAACATTTCATCATCCATAGCTTCATGCCAATTCTTTGCTTCTTCACTACTTGCTGCTTCTGTAAAATTTGTAGGAATATCTGTTTCGATTACTGGCAATGCGTATGCCATACATGAAACACAATCTTTGAATTTAGCAGGAAGCACAACCTCTCTTTTTCCTTTTCTCTTGGCAATACATTCTTCTTGATCTTGGACATCATCAACCATACTGTCTTCTTCTTGCTATTCTTCTTGATCGACACAGTTTTGTTCTTCATTATTGATTTTATCTTCGATACTTGATTGTTCAGTCTGTTCCTTTGATAGCTCCACCTCATGAACAACCTTTCTATCTTCTCTCAATTTCATATGGGTTTCATTAAACGTCACATTTCTGCTTATTACAACCTTCTTGAGTTCTGTACTCCACAATCTGAATCCCTTGACGCCACTATTAAACCCTAGAAAGATAGCTTTCCTTGCTCTCGGGTCCAGTTTATTCTCTTTCACATGGTAATAAGCATCACATCCGAATACCCTTAGTCTTTCATAGTCTTGAGCTATTTTGCCTGACCATACTTCCATTGGAGTCTTTCCGTTTAAGGCTGAAGAAGGAAGACGATTTAAAATGTGACATGCATAACTCAATGCTTCTGCCCAAAAACGTTTTTGCAGTTTTGCTTGTGACAGCATACATCTGACCTTTTCTAATAGTGTTCGATTTAACCGTTCTGTAACTCCGTTCTGTTGGGGAGTTTCCCTAACACTGAAATGTCGTGTTATACCTTCCTGCTTGCAGATTTCAAAGAAGGGATCAGACGTATATTCTCCCCCATTATCACTTCTTAAGACTTTCAACTTTTTGCCGGTCTTCCTTTCGACTGTGTTTTTTCCATTCTAAGAAAATATCCAGCACCTCATGTTTGTGCTTCATCATATAAATCCATGGTCTACGTGAATAATCATCAATGAATGACACAAACCATCTCTTTCCTCCTAGAGATTCATTCTTCGCAGGTCCCCAGACATCCGAGTGTACATAATCCAGGATACCCTCAGTTTGATGTATTGCAGTGCCAAATCTTACCTTTGTTTGTTTGCCAAGAATGCAATGTTCACAAAAATCGATCTTCCCATTTTTGGCTCCATCTAGGACCCCTTGTTTAATCAATCCTTGCAATGCCTTGTTTCCCACATGCCCTAGCCTCATATGCCATAGAGAAGATGTATTTGATTGATCACTCGCTGCCACCATAGCTATCTGAGATTCAATAGTGATGCCTTCTAACAAATAGAGCAAACCCTTTCTAGGTGCTTTCATTATCACTAATGCTCATCTGGCTACTTTCAATGTCTGTTTTTCCGAATAGAATTTGCAACCTTGAGATTCAAGAGTGCCTAACGAGATTAAATTCTTCTTAAGATCTGGGACATATCTTACCCCTTGTAGCTCTCGGACTACACCATCATGGTGTTTGATCCTAACACTGCCAATTCCTTTCGTTGCACATGGGTTATCATCCCCCATAAACACCGTTCCAGTGAGGGTTTTGAAAGAAGAAAGCCAATGACGTTGAGAGGTCATATGATGCGTGCATCCAGTATCAAGCACCCATTGATTCATATAGTCGATACCTTCTGATGCTGTTAGGGCACAGACGAAATCTTCATCGTTAGCTTCAACAACATTTGCTTCTGAATCTTCATATTTTTTTCTCCTTGGTTTTGGCTTTGATTTTTGGACAATCCTTTTTCCAGTGCCCTTTCTCATGGCAGAAGGTGCACTCATCTTTATCCAAAAACCTCATGTTGCTTGAGGCACCTCTCGAGCGTGACTTGCCTTTCTTCTTCGTTGCAGATTTTCTGTCCTTTGATCTTCCCCTTACCATTAGTGCTTCGGAATTGTTCCTCTCTTGTCTATCTAGATTTCGAACTTCATGATTCATCACTGCGCTTGAGATCTCATCAAACTTAATAGTTTCTCTACCATAAATCCATGTCATAACAAACGACTCGTAGGATTCAGGTAAGGAATTCATCAGAATCAACGCTTTATCTTCATCCTTGATCGTCTCCTCCAGGTTCAGTAGTTCAGCAACCATCTTGTTAAACTCTTCAAGATGATCAATCATCTTGGTTCCTTCCTTGTACTGGAAGCGATACAGTTTACTCTTAAGATAAAGTCTATTTTCTGCACTCTTCTTCAAGTACTTCGACTCCAATGTATCCCATAGTTCTTTGGCTGATGAGATGTTCATCACACCATATTTTTGTGCTTTACCAAGACATAGCCTAATCGTGGAACATGCATGTGCATTCAGCCGCTGCCATTCCTCCTTCTTCATCATCATAGGCATATCTCCAAGCACAGCCAGTAAACCTTGTTGAATCAGTACGTCCTTAACTTCGCACTGCCACATAGCGAAGTTATTGGTCCCAATAAATTTCTCGATCTCAAATCTAGCACTTTGCACCGAAGTTTTGGTTACCTCAGTACCCCTATCATCTCCACTTTCAGTTTTTGACATTGTTTTGATCTGACCACGCAACCTATGGCTCTTGATACCACTTGTCGTAACTTACTCTTCGATCAAACCAAAACAATCACCCAAACATGAACAATGGAAGCTCACTTTATTGATTTAATAAAGTATTACAAGAAAACTCACACAATAGTTTCTGATGAGTAGATTTTATATTATATATTTTATCCTAATCTTAGTATATTTTGGTTAATATATTGGAAGAATTTTGATACTTTGAATTGTATTTTCAATATAGGACTTTCGACTTCCTCTGGAGCAAAACAGGACCAAATGGACGAATTTTGGAGTAATTCCAGTTGGAGGACGTTCGTGAGTCACTTAGCTTGATCGTATCAAAATTTGGGATTTTTCCACCAAGCGGTTATTTTCTGGCGATGAAATAAAGAAGCAGTGCGCAGTGCTGGAAAATGACGTTTTTGGGCTTAAATGACGTTTTTGGAGCCCAAGATGACCTCGGATGGGTTCGTGGCCTTCTGGAAAAGTGTTCAGAATATTCCAAACATCAAATCCAGCTATATTGGGCCAGTTTGGAGCAGCTTATGGGCCAAAACGTGGCTGTTCAGATTTTAGAAGAATTTTACTATTTTTATTTAGGGTTTTTATTAATTTTAGTTGGCTAGGGTTTGTGTGGTGGCTTAGCAAATATATTGCTTAGCCGTCTACAGTTTTATTTTTACGCTTTATTTTATGCAATATTTGAGACAGAGAGAAGTGCTAGGGTTTTGAAGATTTTCTACTTGAAGGTGTTTTCAATCCTTTTCTTAAGAGATATTTCTATGATTTCAATTATGAATATGCGGAACTAATTTCTTTTGCTAGGGTGAAGCCTTGAGCCTTAGCATGAATATGTGATTTTTATTTAATTGCTTATGATTGATTGCATGCGTACTTTGAATTGTTAATCACCGGGATAAAAACTATCTAATTGTTTTAATGCCTGATCACCATTAGGATTTTTAGAAAAGTAATTTGATGCAATTTTGGTCGGAAGGTTCCCTGAAATTGACGCTGGCTTCTTGTGATTAATAATTGTAATTTCTTTTAGGATGAATATCACGTCTTAAGGATTGCATGGTTTTTCAAAGGATTTTCATAAAGCATAATGAGTCTTTCATGTTTAGATTTGATCCGAACGTCCGGACGGGTTGCATGTTAGATATACGTTCTATATTGGAGGTTCCAAGTAGAATATGAATTAGGAAAATCTAACCTTCAAAGTGGCATGTGTAGATCATAAGTAACGGGTAAAAATTCATAGGATTGCTAGGTGATGGTGGAACCCTAATGCCTTCTTAATTTGATTTTCTCATAACTGTTTTCTTCTCTCTAGCTTTAATATTGCAGATTATCTATTTTAATTCATTAAATTCGTTTTTACTTTAAGTAGGTTATAAAATCAATCATCCAAATTTCTACTTTACAATCATTAATTAAAATCTGATTTGTTTCGAATTATTTAATAATCCCTGTGGAGAATGACCTTGCGAGATCCGTTTATACTACAATAACCTTGTGATTCTTGCAAGTAAAATAGAAGGTTTTTATCGCATTCACATGAGTAGTAAAAATCCCTATCAAGAAAATGGCGCCGTTGCCGGGGATTATTTAAAATAATTCCTACTAATCAGATTTTCAATTAGTTATTGCTGTTTATACATATAAAAAAATAAAAAATTTCCAATTTTCGTTTTTGTTTTATTTTTCTCAGATTACAAAGATAATTTGTGCATATCAACTCTTAGTTAATTATTTTTGTATATATCTTTTTATTTAATTGCTGATTTTGTTTGGTAGGTTACAATTTGTTTTTTTTTTTTTTTGAGCAGTGCAACAATGGAATTTGCAGTTCCCCCTGAATTCAATCTAACACCCGGTGGACCCCCTCTTTGGGTGTCATTAGCAGAAAAGGGTTATTATGGATTTAAGCCTACAGTTTGTGCTCTTTGCTATTCAAGGACCCATGATATTTTGCAATGTCCTGAGAGGAAATATTTTCCAGATTATGTCCAAGAGTATATATATATGAGAATCGATTCAAAATGGAACTGGAATAATCCCCATTCAGAGTTCTACACTCAAAGTTTGAAAGAGCATCTTGGGCAATATTTCGAGCAGCTTAATGTGCCACAAGAGCTTTCAGTGGAAGACAAGCTCTCTAAATTGTTGGAATCAACTGAATTGTACATTGAAATAACCAATGAAGGATTTCAAATTCAAGCAGTAAACCGTGGGAGAAGCTATGATGATCAAGAGGTTGGTGCAGGAACTGAGGAGCAATCTGCCACCCAGTCATGCCCAAGGGAGGAAACACCACCTGCTGATCGTGAAACAATTTCCCCACAATCTTTTCCTCCCCAAGTTTATGTGCCACTAGAACCCTTCCCAGCAGGGCTGCAAGAATGCACAAGAATTGATATGTTAGAAGTTGTTCATTCAAAATCAGTACATCAGACATCACATGATCAGCTTTTGACTACTCTGACCATTTTGGATTCAGAGCAACAGGCTACTGATCAGAAAATTTTGGTTGCTGAATTGGACACGCAAACGTCGCAATTCATCAAATTTAAAGAAAATCAGGATCAATTCCGTGACAGCCAAATTCCTCATAGAGAAATTCTGCCAGTGCAGAGGTTGTGGGTGTTAAATACAAGGTTCAAGGCAGCTCGACGGAAACATAAACCTCACTGGAAACAACCTTATTTGATCACAAAGATTCATTCACATAGAAGTGCACTTATGAAGAATTCAACAACTGATAAACATCAACTCATTCCATACCTACTGTTGTCGTATGATGCTATCAAGAAGTGGTTAACTCGAAGGGAACAAGTGACGTGATCTTCAATTCTTCCCTCTACGTCTAGCTATAGACATTAACTAAAGCGCTAATTGGGAGGCAACCCAATTTTTCTAACTTTTTCTTTTTATTTCGTTTATTTTATTTTCCTGTTTTTATTCCTAATTACAAAAATCACAAAAATAAAAAAATCAGAAATTTGACAAAAAAATTGCAATTTTTAATCATTGTTATTTTTCTTTACTTATCTAATTAGTTTTTTTTTTTTATTGCAGGTTGCATTCGTAACTGATTCCGCCTAATCCCAACTAAGGGGGTGCAATCAACATTTATTGCCCCAGCACATTCATCATCAATTCATCATCAATTCCTCTACATTCATGAGATTAGGCAGTGCGGAGTACAAGATTTTTACCTTTGCAGGCACTGGATCTACATTGTAGCTGGTGTTCCTTTTCATTGTCAGTGTTCCACTTCCAGATCGTCGACCTTTGCACCCTAACAAGATGCACAGATTTTACACATGCCGGGTGAAGCTTATATGAGACATGCAGTGAGAGAAGGCTAGTAATTTTACCCTTTCTGTCTCGGATCTGATCTGCTTGCATATTGTTTTTCATTTTCCTCGTGTTTGGCCGATGGCTCCACATCCTCGCAAAGGAAGCAGATCAGCATGAGTTAATGTTCTTTTCCGTATAAAAAAAAAATCATCAACTGTGCACCTATTAAACAAGGACATGGACGAAGATTACCTTTGTGGGAAGATTTGAGCTTCACATGTGCTACCATTTCCATGGCAGAGTCGTGGGTGTGGTTGGCTAAGGGTGCGACGGGGCGATATTTTTCATTTTACGAGGAGCTGCTGTGAAGAGATATTTGAACCGAGAGAGGACTGACATATAAAAAAAAAAAAAAAAACCTGGAAGGATGACGGAGATGCTGTGAATGAGTGGGTTGCGTGGGTTGAGGAAAATGGAAAGAGAGACTCTTCGGTTTATTTACTGAGCGAGACTGATCTTGCTCTTCTGAGAAGCCATGAAGGAGAGAGAGCAGAGACATGGGATCCGAGAGAAATGAGATAACAACGAGAGAGAAAGAAGGACTCGACTTGCTGAAAAAATGGAGAGAGTAGAAGTATTTTCAGATTTTCTAGAAAGAAAAAGATGGGCACATGGGGTTGATCCTAACCCTTGATTTGGAATCCTATGAACCTCTATTTCCTGATGCATGACACACGGGACACGGTGTGAATTTAAGAGGGGAGAGAGCCGTTGGGCTCTGTGTTTGATGACTGACAGAAGACTGATGCCAGCTGCATGCCATTCAAAGCAGGGAATCCAATGTGTGTTTTCAAATGACAAATGCAGCTGCTACATCTGTTCTATAGCAGCTGTTGCGCAAGTTGACACAAGTTTGACGCTGTCCGTGTTGGTCAGCGCGTCTTCACACAGTCCCAGGTCCTGAGTTCGAATCCAGGTGCTTCATTTCTATTTGTTCTTTTATTTGTTTATTTTAATTTCTTTGTTTCTTTTCTGTTTTCCTTTGTCTTTTAGTTTATTTAGTCGTTTTTGTTTTATCTTTTCCAGTTTTGTTTTTTGTTTTTTTTTTTTATTATTTTTTGTTTTGTTTTTTTTTTAGTTTCTATATATTTTTTCCACACCTTGAGGACAAAGTGTGCAATAAGTTTGGGGGTGGGAAAGTAAATTTTAGTTTAGTTTTTTTTATTATTGTGTCCGTTTAAAAATTTTCATTCGTGCTAAGTTAATATCCATAGATTATTTTAAACGTTAGAACAAATGGACATGGTAAAGATTAATCCCACATTAGAGTCTTTTCTATTTATCGTTGCTTAGACACTAATTCATGAATTATACTTTGAACTTTGCACATCACACCAACATGGTTTGTGGGGAGTGAGATTGAAACACTTGCTTTTAGTCTAAGTTTATTTTTAATTTTTGTTTTAAGTAAAGTCAGTTATTATTGTGAATAAAGTAATAATTGTCTCACCCGAGGTTTTGCCTAGTAACCGGGCCAGTCCTGCCTAATCAGCAGTGATTCTCGCGTCAAACGGTAGAGTTTTGGCATGGGACAGGGTGGTTAGTTGGTTTCGTAGCCTTTTCAGCTCGGGTTAATAAGTCCTTAGGGGTGTTCTACACCTAGTGCCCTAAAGCCCTAGTGGTTTGGGAGTCATTGACCTAAAGCTCGCTACATGGGTTGGATTGAAAGCTTAAGTGAACCGACATTGCACGACCACTACTGTTACTGAAAAAAAAAATGTTATATACATGAAAAAAAAAAGAGAAAAAAAAAATTGAAAAAGAAAAAAAAAAGAAAAAGAAAGAGAGTTATATTTAAAGTTACTATGTGTGAAATAAATAAGGATGAGAGGTAAGGGTTTTAGTCGAGTCCCCTTAATTATGTTGGTTCACTTTACACCAAAGGAAGTTTGTGAATTCTTTTCTAATTGATTCTAAATGGCTTAGACTCTGTGGTGGGATTGGTTGGAACTTTTGAAAAAATGTTCTAGTTTTTAAAATTTGCTATGGATTGCAACTTTGAAGATGAAAATTTTTGTCAGTTAATTTTAGCTAGTTGTCTAGTTTGTTAAGTTTTTATTTTTTGTTTGAGTCTTGTTTTGCTTGAGGACAAGCAAAAAGCTAAGTTTGGGGGTATTTGATGAGTAGATTTTATATTATATATTTTACCCTAATCTTAGTATATTTTGGTTAATATATTGGAAGAATTTTGATACTTTGAATTGTATTTTCAATATAGGACTTTCGACTTCCTCTGGAGCAAAACAGGACCAAATGGACGAATTTTGGAGTAATTCTAGTTGGAGGACGTTCGTGAGTCACTTAGCTTGATCGTATCAAAATTTGGGATTTTTCCACCAAGCGGTTATTTTCTGGCGATGAAATAAAGAAGCAGTGCGCAGTGCTGGAAAATAACGTTTTTGGGCTTAAATGACGTTTTTGGAGCCCAAGATGACCTCGGATGGGTTCGTGGCCTTCTGGAAAAATGTTCAGAATATTCCAAACATCAAATCCAGCTATATTGGGCCAGTTTTGGAGCAGCTTATGGGCCAAAACGTGGCTGTTCAGATTTTAGACGAATTTTACTATTTTTTTTATTTAGGGTTTTTATTAATTTTTAGTTGGCTAGGGTTTGTGTGGTGGCTTAGCAAATATATTGCTTAGCCGTCTACAGTTTTATTTTTACGCTTTATTTTATGCAATATTGGAGACAGAGAGAAGTGCTAGGGTTTTGAAGATTTTCTACTTGAAGGTGTTTTCAATCCTTTTCTTAAGAGATATTTCTATGATTTCAATTATGAATATGCGGAACTAATTTCTTTTGCTAGGGTGAAGCCTTGAGCCTTAGCATGAATATGTGATTTTTATTTAATTGCTTATGATTGATTGCATGCGTACTTTGAATTGTTAATCACCGGGATAAAAAACTATCTAATTGTTTTAATGCCTGATCACCATTAGGATTTTTAGAAAAGTAATTTGATGCAATTTTGGTCGGAAGGTTCCCTGAAATTGACGCTGGCTTCTTGTGATTAATAATTGTAATTTCTTTTAGGATGAATATCACGTCTTAAGGATTGCATGGTTTTTCAAAGGATTTTCATAAAGCATAATGAGTCTTTCATGTTTAGATTTGATCCGAACGTCCGGACGGGTTGCATGTTAGATATACGTTCTATATTGGAGGTTCCAAGTAGAATATGAATTAGGAAAATCTAACCTTCAAAGTGGCATGTGTAGATCATAAGTAACGGGTAAAAATTCATAGGATTGCTAGGTGATGGTGGAACCCTAGTGCCTTCTTAATTTGATTTTCTCATAACTGTTTTCTTCTCTCTAGCTTTAATATTGCAGATTATCTATTTTAATTCATTAAATTCGTTTTTACTTTAAGTAGGTTATAAAATCAATCATCCAAATTTCTACTTTACAATCATTAATTAAAATCTGATTTGTTTCGAATTATTTAATAATCCCTGTGGAGAATGACCTTGCGAGATCCGTTTATACTACAATAACCTTGTGATTCTTGCAAGTAAAATAGAAGGTTTTTATCGCATTCACATGAGTAGTAAAAATCCCTATCAGTTTCCTTGCCACATAAATCTCTCACACTATACTCTCATCTACACACACCCTAACGTTAAGGTTCTTTTATGCTAGTTACAAACCTAATCCTAAACTGAGTTGGAATCCTAAACCTATCTGAAACTTGCGTCCAAGTTTCCCATACCTATTACAATTAGAACTCCTATCTCAGCTAGGAACCCTTCTCGGATTCTATACCAACTTCAACATTTATTTGTGCGGAGTGCGTTGGAGTTGGCCTCCACAGAATATGACAGCACACCAACAACTCACTTTACTTTAATTGACTTGATTGACTTGGAATAACAATATAAGCTGGATACAAGAGAGGCAACGCAACGAACCATCCTGCATTTCTTGTTTATCATTTCTTTTTCCATTGTCAACAGATTGCTGAGGCTGAAAAAACTGTTATTGGACAACCATAGCTCTATACTCGGCTTCGTTGAAGACAAAAAAAACTGTTATCTATCTTTTCATTCACCAAGAAATTAATGAATTGCCCACGAACACACAATACCTAGTAGTTGAACGACGAGTCATTGGACAACCAACCCAATCAGAATCACGATAAGGAACTAGATTTAATTTGTTGTTTGATGGAAAGAACAAACCTTGGCAGGAGTAGATTTAAGATATCAACCAACTCGAAGAGCGGCATCCATTTGGGGCTGCTGCGTTTCATGCATAAACCGACTAAATACATGTATGAAATATGTGATGTCCAGACAAGTGATGGTAAAATAGATTAGTTGTCCAACCAAACGTCAGTACTTGGCGGGATCCTTGAGTAGCTCCTTTTTATAAAAAAAAGTTTAATTTCTTCCATCGGAAACTCCACAGGCCTTGCAACCAAGAAACCATGGTCTTTAAGTATATCAATTGCATATTTTCTTTGTATCAAGAAGAACGATAAGTAGTAAGTGGAGTGAATAATGCGCGATAGTTGTTATTTAAGCAAGGTAGTTTTCATGATCACAATTTGACCAAAATAGATCTAACAATCAGAATAAGATTTTAAAGCGTGTTGAAAAAGATTGCGTGGAAACAATTTCTCATAGTCTAATGTATAGTTCCATATTTTCTACTTTGACCATGAACATAGGGAGATTCTTGGTTGTCCCCGAGTATATCCCAGTTATTCAATCCCTCACGCATCAAGTGTATCAGTTCAAATGCAAGTCATATAACATCTTCCAAGTTTGGTAAAAGCCCCAGATGAAAATTTACATAACAATGGATTTACCATGATTAAGGTAAAAAGTAAAAACAGAACTACTATATTTTACAAATTACCAAATAATAATTGAATGCTTGTCTCTTATAAAAGGTAGGATCAATGAAGGCATGATATTTTATCCTTTTTACACAAAATTACTTCATTTCTGTAATGTGAGTTGGAGTTGGCCTCCACAAAATATGACAGCGCACTACCGTTTAATTTACTTCACTTGAAATGATTGACATCGCTTTAAATTTTAATTTTAAAATAATGTATAAGTTTATATGACGTTATAAAAAAAAATTTATTTAAAAGATTTTCTTACTACTAAATACCCACGAGAAAAGTTGCACAACCCAACCAACGATTAAAGACCACTTACAATACCAAGCAAGCTTGGTAATGCTCCAGCTGAAAATTTACACACAAAAAAAAAAAAAGTAAAAACAGAGCTAGTGTTTTTTTATATCGGAAACGATGCATATGATTAAACAACAAATGGTTACAAGCGTGCCGACATAAACTTCAAAAATAGGGATTTGGATCTCATTCAGATTTAAATGGTAAAAATCTTAGAGATTTTCACATCTTAGTTGTTTATTATATATCGTACGGTTAAAAATTATTTTAATTTTTAACTTAAAATTAAACAAAAATAATTACTAATGAAAACTAATCACATGATATACAATGAACAGTTATAATACGAGGATTCAGATCCTCTTTTGATGCTCTTCCCAAAAACAGGGCTAGTGTTTGAATACAAATTACCAAGTAATAATGAACGCTTGTCTTGTATAAATGGTAGGGTAACGAAGGCTTGATATTTTTTCCTTTTCTGTAGTGTGAGATGGAGTTGGCCTCGACAGAGTATGAGAGCACACCAACCACTCACTTTACTTTAATTGACTTGATTGACTTGGAATAATCGTATAAGCTGGATAGAAGAGAGGCAACGCTACAAACCATTCTGCATTTCTTCTTCTTCTTCATTTAGTGTCAACAAATTGCGGACGCTGAAAAAATGGCTGACGGGATCATCTACATGCTACTGGATCGGCTGGCTTCAACAGTTTACGAGTACGTTGACGGAGAGGTGAAACTTGTTTTGGACGCCAAGAAAGATGTTGAAGAATTTGCTGGCAATCTCAGAGCTATTCAAGCCGTTCTCGAAGATGCGGAGCAAAGGCAAGTCAAGGAGGCCAACGTGAGGATCTGGTTGGATCAGCTCAAAGACATATCCTTCCAGATGGTGGACGTGCTGGACGAGTGGAACACTGACATGCTGAGACAACAGGTTGAGAAGCAAGAACGAGAAGGTGAAAATGTTCCTGTTCCTGAGAAGAAGAAGAAGGTAACTCTCTCTGTTTCCCCTAGCTGCTTTTTGTTTTCGCAAAGCCAAAGAGGTGATTTTTCGCAGTAAAATTGCGAGTAAGATAAAAGATTTGAACGATAAGTTAAGTGTGATTGATGAGCAAAGAAAAAGGTATGGGTTTCAACCCATAGAAAGAGGCATTCAAGAATTACCTGAACGGCAGAAGACTTCGTCTTTTGTCGTCGTGTCAGAGGTATTTGGTCGAGAAAAGGAAAAAGACATTCTGATAACAAAGTTGATGAGTGATGGTGGAGAAGATCGGAGGGGGCTCCTTATCATCCCTATTCTAGGGATGGGAGGAATGGGAAAAACAACTCTAGCCCAACTTGTTTATAATGATGACAAGGTTAAAGCCTATTTTGAAAAGAGAGTGTGGGTTTGTGTCTCAGATCCTTTTGATGAGATTAAGATTGCCAAAGCTATATGCGGTGATAATGCCCCAAACTCAAATGAGTTGGATCATGTCTTGCAATGCGTGTCAAAATCCATCGAGGGCAAAAGGTTTCTCCTTGTCCTAGATGATGTGTGGACCCCCGACTGTAAAAAGTGGGAAAAATTAAGGGCACCACTAATTCAGCATGGTGCTCATGGCAGTAAAATATTGGTGACCACACGAAAGCATGAGGTCATTGATATGATGAGAGCAGAAAGTGAAATGATCAATTTGGGAGAGTTGCGAGAAGAATATTGTTTATCAATCTTCAATCGCATGGCGTTTGCTGATGCAGAAGTAAATGAGTCCAAGGCGTTTGAAGATATTAGTAAGGATATTGTGAAGAAATGCAAGGGCTTACCTCTCGCTGCAAAAGCTTTAGGTAGTCTCATGTTCAATAAAAAAACACGGAGGGAATGGCTAGATGTCTTGAATAGTAAGATATGGGACCGAGAAGAGGTGGAGCAAGAAGTTTTTCAACCACTTTTTCTAAGTTATTATGATTTGGCCCCAGCAATAAAATGTTGCCTTTTGTATTGTGCTAGTTTTCCTAAAGATTATAATTTTAAGAGGGATGAGTTGATTAATCTTTGGATGGCACAAGATTATCTTAATTCAAAACGAAATAAAGATGAGGGAGAAGTTGGTCAAGCAATCTTTGATAACTTAGTAGCACGGTCTTTTTTTCAAGATTTGGAGAAAGATGATGTTAGTGGTAAAATTATAGGTTGCAAAATGCATGATATCGTTCATGACTTTGTGCAATCTCTCACCAAGAACGAATGTTTGGTCACTGGGGATGTTGATAGTGAAATAGAGGGTTTGGGTGAAAAGGTTCGTCATTTGACCTTAACCTTTTGGTGGAAACGTGGTGAGTCTCTGCCACTCCTATCTTCTAATGCATATTACAATTGCAAAAACCTACGTTCACTCTCATATTTTGATTCATGCATTGCTGAGATAGACTCAAATTTTATTCTACAATTGAAATGTCTTAGGACGTTAAATTTGCATTCGAGAGGCATAAGTGAAGTCCCAAAGGAAATTGGTGAATTGATACATTTGAGGCATATTGATTTGTCATGGAATTGTGATTTGAAGATCTTGCCGGATAGTATCTGTGAGTTGTACAATTTGTATACTATGCGCCTCGTTTGTTGCTGGTCACTTGAAAAACTACCTGATAACATGGGAAAGTTGATTAGCTTAAAGTACCTTGATGTTTTGGGCTGTGATAAGCTGGAATACTTGCCAAAAGGGATTCGGAGATTAAAAAAATTGAAAAGACTTGTTCAGTGTGTTGTGGTTTGTGGTGAGGATGAGGACAGAGCAGCATTACAAGTGGGAGATCTGAGAGTCTTGAACCTTGAGGGCAGTCTCATCATAAAATTGAAGGGGAATGTGAAAGATGAGAGGGAGCTTGAGAAGGCACCATTGTCGGACATGAAGAAACTCTTTCATCTCAAAATTGATTCTTACGATGTTCTATACAAGAAGACAAGAAGCACTGTAGAAATACTGAATGGGCTACGACCGCACGAAAATCTGGAATCTTTAGACATTTCTTATCATTCAGGCACCACTTGCCCCAATTGGATCATGTCTTTGCACAACTTAAGAATCATCTATCTATCTGAATGGAGTGAATGCAAGTTTTTGCCTCCTCTTGGGAAATTGCCCCACCTTGAAAAGCTGACTATGTATGGTATGGAGAAGGTGGAAAAGATTGGTGGTGAATTTTTGGGAATAGTTGACTCAGATGAAACGTCATTGAAATCATCATCATCCACCTCATTTTTTCCAAAGTTGAAAGAATTCGAAATTTGTTTCATGGCAGCGTTGGAGGAGTGGGAAGTAGGCGTGGAAGGGTGGAACAAGGAGGATTCTGAAATTTCAATCATGCCATGTCTTTCCTCTCTACAAATTAGTGATTGCGACTACATAAAAACACTGCCAGACTTCCTCTGCAAAACACCACTGCAGGATCTTATCATTGAGGCTTGTCCGAGGCTTTCAGAGCGATGTGAGCAAAGCAGTGGAGAGGAGTGGCCCAAGATTTCTCACATCCCAAACATCAAAATCTCATCATCCTTAAGGTAATTGAGCTCTATCTATCTTATTTACACATGTATGTATGCTATCATCATATTTGTTTAATTTGTTTAATTTTCTTATTTTTCTTCTTCAGAAGATACGAGCAATGTGGATCAACTGGTGATTTGCGAGCTAGGCATACATATTAATCTTCTTTTAAAAGGTAATTGTCTTCCTTTATATATTTCAAGGATTATTTAACTTCAGCTACTTTCTAATTTCTTTGCGGAACGACTGAGTGAAAGTAGTGATATCAATAAACCATCTAGGAAACATATAATGCATTCATCTTACTGATATGTACGTACTAAATTTGATATCAAATTTCCACGGCGCATAATTTTCTTATCTTAGTTGCTCAAGTTTTCGCAGAAAATAGTAACACTTGAGCAAAGGTGAGCCAAATTAAAGAGCGTCAGTTGAGGTCACCTTTAGGTTTCTCATGAGGTTTGTTGTTTGGCTTTAATATACATTATTTGGTTGTTTCTTAGGAAAATTTAATTCTAGGACAATATCATAGAGATGTTACTCAATAGGTAATTTACCTATCGTTTCAGGGATTCTGTAGAACTTAAAAGTGTGATGTCGACCATCAACATACCGCTACTGAATCTTCCCCACAAATTTTGATCATCTTCACCTAAGCCATGAGAACTTGCAGGCATTGGAAAGTGATTCCTCAAAGCATTCCTCTGCTAACTCCTCATTGCTCGGACCTGAGCTTAATGATCCTTCATGGCCATTTTCAACAGGTCAAATACAATCATGTGAACAGGGTAGCTAACTGCATTTCTCATAGACGTAGTTTGGTTTGAGGAGCTTACATGATTGTACATCTCCTTGTAAAGGATAGTCATACTATGTAATTTGGCATGTGGAGTTCTTTTCTCCTTCGATTGGGTTGAAATACCCGACAATGTTTTTACTGAGGTCCCTTTCAATGGTGCACCCCATCCTCTCTTGTACGTATTCTTCCATAACGCTAATGAATATCATACTTCTTTCCAACAAAAGAAAAAAGTTCCCAAGTACACAAATTAACCACTATTTAGACGAAGTTCGGTGTATGGTATAGTTGGGCGGCCTGGAATAAAAGCCGTGAACCTGGAATAAATGGTTAGCTCTCTACCACCTTGGCCTTGTCTAAAGAAAAAGCCAGTATTTCAGTTGAAATATAACATCCAAGTCTTCTCAGTTCCAAGCAAAGAAACTCAACTAATAGCTCCCAACAACAGATGCATTTGAAACAGTTTTAGTTGTCCGAACGCTCTTTTAGCAATTTTAAAAGCACTTCAAAACAGGCTCACATCAAAACACACTCATAGACATGCTTAATGTGATGGACTGAATAAAATTTTATGAATGAAGCTGCAAATTTGACAAATTGTTGAAGCAAATGTCATCATATAAACACTAAACATACATGTATTCACCACCTCGAATCGCATTTGCAGCTCCTTTTCTGTCTTCTTCGGCCTCCTTCTCCCTCTCCTTCCAGTTCTCGTACACATGATCATCCGTCTGCAGCTCATGCCGGCATATCGGACAAGAATTGTGCTCATCCTGCCACAATCAAAACAACCCAAAAATCCCCAGTCAGTCAGCACTTAAAATTCGAATTGAACGCAACCAATGAGATACATTAGCAATATAGCAAATGTTGAAAAATTCGAATTACCAGCCATGGCTTTAGGCAAGGAGGATGAAAAGTGTGCTTGCAGGGCAACTCCTGCATTTTGTCATTGACAACCAAGTTTTCCTTACAAATGCAGCAATCTGCGTCCTCTCCGAGCTCCTTCAACACTTCCTCCGTGATCATGATCACCGGAAGATTGGCCACCACCTGTTTGCTCGCAGGCGGGCCCCTCGGAGCCGCCCTCACGTCATCCAAAATCCCCGGCGGCAAAACGCTGTCGAGGTTGTCAATGAGCGACTGAAGCAGATTCACTGCGCCTTCCGAGTTCTCTTCGATTCCGGGACCTGACTCAGAAGACGACCCCACCGCCATGGCCGCCGTCAATAGATTCGACTGCAACAGCCACTGCGGCTGCGGCGGCTCCCGATCCACCGTCAAATGCCCCTCAAACAAATATCCTAAAAAACCCAAAATTCAATTCCAATAAAAGAAAATAAATTTTAAGTTTTTGCAACCTTCCACGAAAATTCAGACAAATTTCACAAATAATTACAAAAAAAATTCAAAATCAATAAAAAAGAACAAGGGGTTCCTATAATTTCTGAGAAGGGAGATATTTCATACCTTGATTCGGAGAAGACGACGGCTGCGCGGGGTCGTTTTCCTGATGAACGACCTGTCGTGCCTCATCGATGCAAGCGAGCAAGTGGGCCTTCTCGGAAGGGTCTGAAACGAGGGGAATGGGCGAGCTGAAAGAGAGCGAGTCCGGCGGCCCAGAAACCAGGGGAGGTGTACCGGGTCTTCAACACGGTGGCAACCCGGCAAACGACGCCGTAGTACAGTTTCCGCAGCGACGGAGAAGCGGAGGAGTAGTGGTCCCGGAGCAGCGAATTAAGAGCGGTGACGGCGACCTCGAACTTCTGCTTCTTGGAAACGTCCTTGTGGAGCTCCTCCAATCGCTGCTACAATTTCTTTTCGTGTTTGAATTTGACTTCCATTTTCAGATTCGGGTTAAATCGGTTTGTATCGTATCGGATTTTTTTATTTTTCTGCGTTTTTCAGTTTCGGATAAAATTTTATTTGTACCCAGTTGTCTTATCTATATTAGGGGTGGGTTTCCGTTTGATTCGATTTTTGCCAAAATCGGAAACCGAACCAAAATTACTGTTTGATTCGGTTTTTCTCAATTCAGTTTCGACCCGGTTCGGTTTTTTTTTTTTTTTTTCCCATAGCCAAAAAAAAAAAAAATTCTAAGAAAACAACTTGCAGGCATTTTGTAATACATCTTCTAGAGAAGTATAAATAAAATCAAAATCCTATTTCAACATAATCGATAAAATAAGCATTCCAAATTTCTAATAGAACCAAATTTCTACTCGAAGATGAGTTCGTTTGATCCTGAGGCCTATTTGATTTTGATCTCATTGAGTTTGAACTTGAGCTTAAGGCCATTGAGACCTTTGACTTCATCTAATTCACACAAGACGATAAGATGATAGTAGTTAGTACTACGAACTTATACAAATGTATGTTGGTGCAGATTCGCATACTAGTGCAGATTTGGTTATTGGTATAAAACTTGTATAAAAATGCAGCAAGAATAAGACAGAATAGACCTATGAGGTGTATACCATGATAAATCAAATGAAATCAAACATGTATCAAATGATATGTAAAATCCACTTAACACTAAAACCCCTTCACAAAATCTGACTCGAAGAAATGACAGCACTCTGGTTTAACATATCAACTAGACAGACAACTCATATAATACCTCACCATTTGCTTTGCAATTTGTAGTTAACCTCATGCTAATTGACCATTCCATAACTAGAATACTTCACCAGTTCTTATACTAAAGTAACTTTAACATGAAATCAAAATCAACATGTATAATGCTAAAAATAAGATAAAATTGTATTCCATTTTCTCAAAAATAGTTGAAAGACACATTATTACAATTATTTCTTTAACAATTAAGCAAGATAAGCTTGTTAATTTTGTTGTTGGTGGGTAATACTGTGGTCGAAGGAATATGTTTTTACAGTAACTATGGTTCTGCATATTGGTCCAGCTAATTGCATAATAAAAGACCAGTTACAGATTCCCATAGGATTCCAAAATACATAGTGTAAAATGTAAACCTCTCCCATGAGTATAAAATTTCGAGGAATGATTTGGATGAACTTGAAACAAGAGTGCAGAGCAGGAAATCAGATAATAGTAACCACCAATAGTTTTATTGTGTATATATACATCTAAAATTCAAAGCAATACCCACAAACAGGTTCTCAAAATCCCAGAAAACCATCAAAATCTTCAATCACGACAGAGAATAATCAATCAAATATTACAATTTTTGAAACATGGGTATTCTCCGATTCTGCATGCATTAATCTAAATTACAAGAAGTGAGAGTGTGAGACTAACCTTTTTCTGTCGAGACTCGGAATGGCAAGAAGAAGTTGACGGCAAGGTGTGAGAAATTGAGAGTGAGAACTGAGAAGGGTTGTGTCGTCGCGGGTCACCACTGGGAATGAGAGACAGAGAGTTTGAGTCTTTGAGAAAGTGATTGAAGACCGAGAGAGAGAGAGAGAGGAGGGTCAGGGGGATGTGCGAAGTCGAACTGAGAAAATGAGATAGAGGAATCAGGAATACACGTAGGGTTGCACAATAAACGACGTCGTTCTCGGATAGGATTATTAATTAATGAAATAATTGCAAAACGACGTTGTTTTAAAGAACTTCGGTTCGGTTCACCACATTCGGTTCGGTTTTTTTTTGCCTCGGTTCGGTTTCGGTCCAATTTTTTTTTATTTTTGGTTTTTCCAACCCACCCCTAATCTGACACCCAACTAAAACATTTTCTCTATTAAACTTCCAAGTTTGCCCTTAAGTAAATAGCAATAAGAAAATAAACATTGGTGTTTTTATCTCTGCACCCAATAACTCAAAACCTAGCACACCACTGCACTCATCCATTATTTCCGGCGAAACCCACGCAAGTGACAACAAAAAATTCTATCAAGATCACGAACGACCATGGGCACCAAAATTTTCAATTGGGATTAGTTATTGGAAATTTTAGGGATAAATTATCAAGACCATGTCCAATAATATAGTCAAAATCCAAGTCGTGTAAAAGTAGTTTCATCCACATCACAATTTGGAGAACCCAAAAAAAGAAAATAAGCAGAAGCTGCAAATCAAAACCACTTTTGTGAATGAGAAGCTGCGGGAAGCTATACCTGCCTCAGTGAAGGAGCTTCCATGGAGAAAAGTAGCAGATGCAGCTGCTTCTGCTTGGAAAAAAAGCATTCATATGGTCATATGTTACTTTGGGCACCCTCAACTTCTTATTAGACATCATATTTTTCATCTCCATAAACTATAAATTGGTGATACCATTTGGTCTGTTGTTGGGTGCTTCTTGATTGATGTTTTGAAGGAGACATTGCACGAAGTGCTTTCCAGGTGAAGGAGAATGCCAATGGGATAGCAATTTGTTTCGTCGAAAATAATGGAGGGGTGGAGTGGTGCGCTAGGTTTTGGTCATTGGGTGTAGAGATAGAAATATCGATTTTTATTTTCGTATTTATTTATTTAAGGTTAAACTTGAAAGTTTAATGGATAAAATTTTCTAATTAGGTGCAAAGATAAGATAACTAGATCCAAATAAAATTTCTAGTTTGGCTTGGCGAGGAGGTCACCGTTGGGAGACGAAGGCGGGAATTAGATCGTCTGCGCGCCGTCTCACATTCCAACGGTCTGTCCACGTCACTGCGTTCTCACGCCTTCTTATTACTTCATAAACGACACCTTTATTAACGTCGTTTGATTTACATGTGGTCGCTTGCATGAGTTGCCTGGTGGGTAAGTGGTGGGGTTGGGTTCATCTAATTCAACGTCTGACACTCAAAAATTTAATATGAAGCAAAAGATTACCAAAAGTTAGGACATGTTGGAAGTAGGGATGGGCAACGGTTATGGTGGGCGGGTAACCGCGGTTATTTACCCATAACCGTTTACCCGTTGGGTAATTGCCTAAACAGTTATACCCATACCCATAACCATTTATAAACGGTTAACCATACACATAACTGTATATCCATTTAACCGTAACCGTTTAATACCCCTTTACCCATTTACCCTTTTTAATCTGTTTATCTTTTTTCTTTCTTTTTTTACTATTACTTTTTTCACCCGTTTTTTTTTTTTTACAATTAAACACCATTATAGGATTCATCATACATTTATGTATTTTAATTTTTTAAGTCCTTATACATTTCCAATAATTGAAATAATTGCCGACAAAGACACAACGGCGGGCACTCTTACGTGGGTTATTTATATGCTCTGCAAGCACCCTCATATACAAGAAAAAGTTGCAACGAAAGTTCGAGAAATAGCAAATCTAAAAGATGATTCAAGCATTGTTGAACTTGTAGACAGTTTTAATGAAGATGCCCTTAATAAAATGCAGTATCTCTTAGCAGCCTTGACTGAGACACAGAGGCTCTACCCTGCAATTCCACTGGTAATTTGACTAACATCTTAACTAAATCTAATGCATGCATACTGCAAGGGAAATGATTTCAGTGCGCTCCCGTTTATTTTTCTCACCTAAATTTCTTTTGATTTATTCAATTTAAGGATAAAAATACTCCACAGATTATCGTTTATTACTTCTTAATTAATTAAAACACCGCTATATAAACCACATTATAGTCAATCACATTGATTTAAGTTTTTTCCGATAAAGAATATGGTTTGTGTTAATTTTATATATATAAAATAAATGGGTAAACGGTTAACTGTTTATAACCGCAGTTAATACTCATAACCACCCATTTAAATTTCACGGGAAAACGGTTATACCCATAACCGTTTATTTATCTAAACGGTTACCCATAACCGTAACCGTGAAGCTTAAATGGGCGGTTATACCCATAACCTTTTTTTTTATTTTTGTACTATCTAATTTTTATTTACTATTCACTTGAATAATTGCATTTGCTTCATCTAAAGAGAGCAAGAAGAAGATAACGTTGGACCCTCTCTAGACCTTAGTGTCCCGAGTCCAAGGATAAAAAAATATGTGTCTTTAGTTTGTGTGAAAGAGAGAAATAAGAGTCATTGATTTGTATGAGGTGTGCTAGCGAAATGAGTTAATATGGACCATCAGATTCACTTTTAAGTAGTCCAGATTGCCCGATTCTTGAGCTTTGGATAGTTAGATACAAAGTGAATCTCTATCCCTAGGTTAGTACTTCCTGTATATCAAATTGTAAGACTTATAGGCCTAGGCTCCTTTGATGTAGAAGCTTTTGATTGACATATTGGATTGGAGCAAGTGAGACTACATTCATAATACCACAATCCAACTTGAAAAGATTTGATCTTATTAAAAAGGCACTTGAAGAGATCAAAATAGCAAAACTTGCCATTTAAAAGAGGACTTGCATAAAGCTGATTTCCAATCTTGTGACCTCCTGATCTAATAATTCAATATCATGTAAAAAAACATATAAATAATATCAAAACGTCACAATGGTGATAAATTATATCCAGACAAGTTGCTCTCCCTTTTGGAGAGAAAAGGGTAGTTTTGGGCCTTCGTCTGGGTTGTTCAGATTGTACTGTCTGCAGTACAATCTTTACCATCTTCGATCCTTGTACTGCATTTTGGGTTTTTTTTTTGTTAGGAGAGAATAGCCATCAAGCCCAAATACATAGCGGGGCCCCATATTTCTAAATTCCAAATCAGCCCCTCTAAACACTGTTAATCATACATACAAAATCAAGATGTCCAGAAGAAACCCACGGAGACAAAATCGTAAATAATAACAACTCCAAGGGTACATCCTAACGCACATCTCGTACCAAACAATTAACAGCGTACACACCAAACGGATCAAACTTTCCATTTTTCTAAATTTCTTGCCCGTCTCTGGCAAGTCTTCTTCTCCAAAAATCCGCCGCTTCTACTTTCTCTCTCTAGAAATCGAAGAAGATGATGCACATGACCTTCTACTGGAGCCGGCAGGTAACGCTCCTCTTCGACTCGTGGAAAACCGATACGTGGACCAGCTACTCCCTCACGGTGCTTGCCTGCCTCCTCGTCCCGGCCTTCTACCAGTACCTCGAGGCCCTGCGCGTGCGCATCAAGCGCGCGGCCTCCTCGTCTTCCCTGAAATCCGCGTCCGACGCGCCGATCCGTGCCCCACTGCTCGCCGCCAAGCTCGGCGGCGCCGGAGGAAGGTTCTCGGCGGGGCGGCTGGCGGAGAGCGTGCTTTTCGGAGTCAACGCGGCGATCGGGTACATGATTATGCTGGCGATCATGTCTTTTAACGGCGGAGTGTTCGTGGCCATCGTCGTGGGGCTGGCGATTGGTTATTTGGCGTTTCTGAGTGGGGACGATGACGTGGCGGGTGTGGTGGTGGATAATCCGTGTGCGTGTGCTTAGAGATTTTTTGGGTGGATTTAGTAAATTTTTAGATACTATTCGAAAGGCTGCAACTTGCATTTGCTCTCTATCGACGTGTAATTGTCTGCTTTCTATAAAAATCTTGTATTATTGTTGTTGTTTGAAATTTATACGTTGCTAGATGCATTACGAATATATAAATCCAAAAGCAAAAATGCTTTTAAAATAAGTGAAAATATTTTTAGAGTAAGGATTTTGGATTTTAAAAATACTTGAAGTGCTTTTTGCAACAAGTATAGTTATGTGATTTTTTTAAAGAAGCATTTTAAATGTTTTTTTTGTAAATTTACTTACATTTTTACTAAGATTATTTTTAATACTTCTGAATTAAATTTTTAGCAGTTTAAAGTGATTTTAGAATAATTTTTATCTTAAAGTAATTTTACTAAATAAAAAAAATTATATAAACTATCTTAATTTAATTATATGAATATTTTAACCTAAAAATATTTAGATTATAATAAATATTGAAAAATCATTAAATCGACATGTGGATCATTATCAAAGAATATAAAACACATAAAATAAAATTTTTAATTATTTTGGCCATTAGATTTAAATTTAGACTATTATATCTTTTTATTTTATTTTTTATAATTGGATTTGATCATATTAGATTCTAAGAGTTGGATTCAATGAATTTATGAATATAAAACTAAAAAAGTTACACATATATGGTGAGTCAACCCCACTAAGCTAAATTTGCCCCCACAAATGAATTTTAGGTTAAAACTCATATTTACCCAAGGGTTGGAGCAAATTAGGGTAAGTTTAAAACCTAAAGTTTGAGTTTTAGTCCAATGGTGAAGTAAGTTTAAGGATTGATTCCAAAATATTTTCACCAAAAATACTTTTAGCCATTTAAAAATACTTCTAAACAAACTCTTTGATTTAAAAATACCTTTAAAATTTTTTATGTGCTTTTATCATAATTGAAAACGTTTATGGTGAAAATATTTTTAATAAAAATCTTAAAATACTTGAGTATTTTTTATATGTGCTTTTAATAAAAAAAGAGACATTTAAAAAACAAAAAATTAAAATCACGATATGAAACATATAATTTGCTATGTTTCTTTATCTTCCCCATCCTCCGCAGAAGAATCTTTTCGCCTCTTCCAATGGTAGGCAGCTTCGAAAAGCTTCCAGTTCGTGTTAAGAGCTTCTTCTGGAAAAAGATAATCAATGTATTCTTCAAACCCAGCAGAACCACCATCTTCAACAACTATTGGCCTCTTCCTCTTCAATCTCCGCGGCAGCTTCGCTTGCACTAACGTAACATCACCGAAATCCCCAAACTCCTCCTCCGTGTTCCGCCATTGTTCTAGCAGCATACTTCTTTGTTCCTTAAGTTCCGACGCTGAAGTTCGAAAATAGTCCGACGCTCTCTCGAAAACCCTTCTGGCGCGCTGAATGCATTGTTCCTTTTGCTCAATAACATCTTTTGAGCGCATTCCGTCTCCTCCCACCATAGCCGATGCCTCGAATGCTGCGTAACTGATCCAGACTTTAACGTGTTGGGTCCGTTCTAAGAGTCGCCCGTACAGATCTCTAGCTCTCTCAAACTCTCTCTCTGCTAGTTCAAAGTCGATATATGACTTCCACAGCAATTCGGGCTTGTCGAGTTGTTTTTGGCTGATGGCAAGTTCATAAACTGATCTGGCTCGTTCCGCGTCGCAATTTTTTTCCTCAAACTCTGCATAACTGATCCACGCATAGGAATTTTCCTCAAACTCTGCATACAGTTTCCGACAGCGATCAGCATTACGTAGTTGCCACTCAATCTCAATGTACCTCTTAAATATCTTGCCTTTAGCTGCCTTGCCAATTGCAGTACCAAGTATCTTACGTGCAGACTCGAGTTTCAGTTGTCGGATCTCAAACTCGGCAGCGAGAATCCACATTTTTGCAAATGTAAACTTCTTATGAGGAATCAGTTCAAGGCACATTATATAGACAGCGCGTGCATGGTCCTCATCGCGAGCATCAATCTCCTCATACAGTGCATAGTTGATCCATAGATAAATGTAGCGCTTCCAATACCGCTTTTCTTGAGCCGGTGGTACATTGGCAATCGCTCGATCATAAACTTGTCTAATCTTCTCCTTGTTCCCTGCATTTTCTTCTAGCCTTGTATAACCGAACCAGGCATCATAATCCAAAGGATTCTTCCTAACCTCCTGCTCGTACTTGAACCTTGCCTTGTTCACAATTGCATCCTCGATCCCTTGTCTGTCCCCATAACGCTCCTCAAATTCCTCGAACATCCTATACAAAGAATCAGCCTTTCCTTTTGGTATACGATCACGCCCTAACTTATAAATACTCCTTGCACGCTCAATTTCTTTGCACCCTTCTTCAAATTCAGCAGAAGCCAGAAACAACCGTTCGGCCTCCTCCTCCTCATTGTCTACCACATCCACTGCCGTCTGATACACATCCCTTACCCTTGCAACGTCACCATTCTTCATCTCAAACTTGGCATACCGAATCCAAGCGTCAGCTTTTGGATGACATTGTACGAACTGCTCAAAAATCGCTCTCGCGTGATATACTTCATTATACCGAAGCTCAAACTCGATGAATTTGATCCAGCCTTGCTGGTCCGGCATCCAATCCATCCACCTCCGAAATATTTCCCGAGCACGAGCTGCATTCCCTATCATCTCCTTCATGTGAATATATTTGTACCAGAGCTGATCCACCCTCGGCAAGAGTTGCACAGCACGCTCCCACACATTCCTCGCATGGTTGATCATCTTATTCTTCATCTCCATCGTGGCATACTCGACCCAGACGGTGTGGTTTCGATAATCTACATCAAGCAGCCGCTCCCAAACAGAGCGTGCACGGTCCAATTCCTTCTGGGACTCCTCCCACCGAGCATACTTGATCCAGACGCGGGCATTCCGCTTCTGGCGCCGGACTTGGTCCTCGAATCCCTTGCGCATTCGGAGGTGAAAATTAGCGAGCTCGGTAGCGTCATTTATTTGCTGTTGGGGAGGACGGATTTCACCCTCCTGACCCTCACGCGCCTCGCGGAGGAGTTGCTCTGCGGTGATTTGGACCGGGGCTGGGGCTTTGTTCTTAACCCTTTTCGCCCGCAGCAGCTTGTCATCGGTGTCCTTGTAGCCATTGTTGTCCTTCGCCATAATTCTCTAGAAACTAAAAAGCTTGAACTCGAATTCGAAAATACCCCAACCCCAATCACAATATATATAGGAGACTGAGAGTCCCAAATCAAATAGGAAATCGAGAATCCCAAATCAAACAGGAAACTGAGTTCGCGATAAAATTGGACTTAGAGTCCCTGCAGTTCCCCTCTGTTCCCTTTACTTTTGTGCCAATTTCGTAAGGGTAGATTGTAGTAATGGTTTTTTAAAACTTGAGCAATTGTTTCTTAATTAAAAATTTATTATTATTAATCTCTTAATTTATCATCTTAACTAAAAATTCATTACGATTGGTTCTTCAACTATAACTAAATTAGAGTAATGGTCTCTCAACTTTAACCAAATTGTAGCAATGATCATTCCAACATGGCTCATTTTGATACTATTGTGACGAATGTGACAAAAATGATCATAACTGCACGTTTTGATGAATTAAGGGATCCCAATTGCAGCAATGATCCTTCAAACATAACTCATTTTGATAAAATTCTAACGAAGTTGACGAAAATGACTATATTTACACATTTTGATGAGTTGAGGAACCAATGATAATGAATTTTTAGTTGAGTGATTATTGTTCTAATTTGATTAAAGTTAAGGGATCATTGTTACAATTTACACCTTTCGTAAGGGACAAAAAAAAGATGAAATTCGCTACGGGGTTAAAAATGTAATTTACTCTTTAAAACGCGACGACTCGGCTCGGCTCTTGTTATCTGGTTGCTTCTGTTTCTTCTTCCTTCGTCTTTCGTAATTTTCTTGGGAGAAATTCAGTAATAGAGGGAAAGAGAGATGGCTTGCTTGCACGACCACAGCTGCGAAGATCATGATTGTTCGTCTGGTTGGACTCTCTACGAGCATATCGACCTCCCCAAGGTCCAAATTCTCTGCCTTTCTCCTTTGCTCGCTCTTAATTTTACTATTCCTGCGTTTTTTTTCCTGTATGAACTATCACACTGCTGCTCTATTTGGGTGGGATTACAATCTGCTTAGTATTTTATGATTTTTCGGGTTCATCTGAAAGTACCCAGATGGAAATCTTTCGTTGAAAGATCAGTGACTCGGATTAACCCGTTGAGCTGAAATTCTTTCTCTTACTAGCGTTTTGAGTAAGCATTGCGTTTGTTGTGGATAGATCATGATTGTAGTGGAAAATTATGAAATGGGGGTTTGTTGGGCTTACCGATTTCTGTATGGGTGGCTTTGTGAGGAGTATTTGGTGATTTCTGATGAGCGTTTGTTGATACTTTGGAATACTCTCACACTTAATTGTTCTGTAAATGGCGTGTTTCGTTGGAGCTTGTGTTTGCTGGTTGACATGATGCCACTTTCAGCTGAATTCAGTTTGGATTATAATCATCAGTATGCACCATGGTCCCTCCTTGAAAGGATTTCAAATTGTGTTGTTATAGGTTACTGCTTTGAATGAGGCGGTTCCTGGAAGCGTCAAGTCGGTTTTCAAAGCTTGGGAGCAAAGACTGAATTCTAGTGGGGTAATGATCCCTTATATATGATTGTCTGTTTTATCTTCTTTTTTCTGAGGGTGTTTTGAACACTTTCCTGTGAGCGAAACAATAGAGTGATTCACGAACATTATTTGTAGATGTCATTGTTAATGTACTAATCCCAACTTCGTAAGTTTTTATAAATGAAATCTCAGATTGATATGTCATGACAATATTTTAGCACAAGTTTAGGAAGTTACTGATTGAGATTCAGTTCAGGTTTACCATATATTTTGGTGGTAATTTATGTTTGAATTTATAGGTGTAAGAAGGCTTATTGGATCCTACTTTCTGCTACAGGGGCACTTGGAGAGCAATGAGGGTGATCCTGAGTTACTTGTTTACATTCCGTGAGTGTCCCATTTTTTGTTGTTTTATATGTTGTCTTTTATAACATGAGTTATTGACTGCATGAGCATGAAATGGATGGGGACAGGTAGATCCAGTGCTTCAGTAGTTTTACCCATTTTCCATCTTTCCGTTCAATTTCAATGGTAGCATGTGCCTGATTCTCTGTAATCTGGTCTGTATGAGTTTGAGTAAGGGACTTAACCTCTGTAGCATCTTCAGGTTCTTCCAAAACATGAAACTTAATATGTGCATCATTTTATAATTATCCTTTTGTCGTGCACTCATAGCTCCCTTTCATGTTTCTTGAATGGTTTGTCATTTCTGTGAATTCCGTAGGAGATACAAGTCATGATCTTGAGGATGTATTTCTATTTTAACTTGTCATTGCTTGTTTCTGCAGAGATTTTATTAGAACCTAGTATTCGCTGATGTTGTTACATACATCTAACTGAGTTATATTTTCCTCATTTATTTTTTTTTATAGATTTACATCAGATGTAAAGATCAAGAGCATATCTGTTGTCGGCGGTGTTGACGGAACAAGTCCTTCCAAGATGAGGGCGTAAGTTTGACATTTTATATCTTCTACCTAAGGCAAGGCCTTCTTATATTGGTGTAGTTAGAATGATGAGGATTTAAGTGATAATTCGTTTTACTCAAATAAACTCATTTGGTAATTTTTTTTCGTCTTAATGTACCACCATTTCCTTGCATAAAGTTCATATTTTCTTGTCTCATCCATTTCATGTTTATGTAGTCAGTACCTATGATTTGGAATTAACTTGGAATATGCAGGGAATTTTTGCTTTCTTTTCAATATATAGTAGTGATCGTGAGTGTAGCCCTGTATGAGTTTTCTGAGAAAATATCTGTTGAAACAGCCTTTGATGGATGTCCAATATTCACTTCATCTCGTTTCATATATTTGGAAAAACTAAAATTAGAACTGCATTGCTTAAATTAGGTTCATCAACAAAGAAGGCATTGACTTTTCAGATGCTCAAGGAATGCAAGCTATTCAGGTATTGCATTCGTATTAGCTTGTTGGAAAGCTAATTGATAAGTTCAACTTTTCAGCTTTGAAACATGTGTTCTTGTTGTTTTAAGGAGTGGGATCTGGTCGAAAATTTCCAAGGAACATTGGAGTACCAGACAAGGTATTTATTGATAGCCTCCTGTGCTACAAAGATCATGTTTTGTAATGTTTGAGAACATGATACCTGTAAAAATTGAGGGGAATATTATTCCTTTTCAAACTGACAACACCGAAGGTAATCCATTTAAACCATCAACTATCCTTCTGATACTACTTTTGTCCACATAATCAGATATTCCAAATTTCAAAACGTGGCCAGCATCACATTGCATTTTCCCGATAGTTTTGGTGGTGATACAACTAAGATAGAGTACATTGGCTTTAAAGGCGAAGCTACAAAGGTAATTTCATTCCATTCGAGCAGATTTTGTTGTGCAACTTCGGCAAATAATACATTTTTCTTGTCTACGATGAACAGTTGAAGAGGGATGTTGTCGCAACAATTGTTTACGAACTCAGGCCAAATCCATCCGATCACAAGTAAGTCTTCGTTATCCTTGTGGAATCGTAAAATGTTGATGACTCCTTTATTTAGACATAGCAGGCTGCGTTTTCTTTGGCACGCCACTTTATGAGTACAACTCCATCCCTAGAGTTTCATGTCCTGTCAAGTGAACTGATGCATGTATATGTTTCGTTTTTTGTCAATTGTTCTCGTCTGTAGGACAAAGGCTGAAGGTGGGGGTCTCTCACATGTTGAATGAACAAGTCAAACGCTAACTGCAATCTGCGGTGTTTCTTATGGATTAAATGCTCTCTGTAGTTTGTATGTTGATACCTTAAAAGCAAGGAAGTACTGAATTGTTGTCACAATTCTTTTATTTGTGGCATCTTTATGGTTGGGAAATGTTAGTCGAAAGAAACCAGATGGAGGTTAAGGCTTATGCTATCATATTCATATGATTCGGTTTTAAGTCACTTTGGAGTTTAAGTGTGCACATTTTTTTAGTTGTGATTCTTTCCTTTTAATTTTCTTAAATCTTTCGAGCTAAGCCACATAATGCTTTGTCATAATAATTTGATTTCAAACTTGTCATCGCGAAATTGAACTGATGAAATTTCAGTTACAACTTACCAGTAAAGATAATTATCATTGACAAATTAACCCATATTTAGTTTTAAAACACAATCTTGGGAGTTACAGCTTAAATTTAATAACAAACAATTCAATAAAAACCCAAAATTGCACTAATAGTAGTTACTCGAAATTTCCCTACCCTCTCCGCAGTTTTTTTGTTACCTTTCGTCTTTGTAGTTTTGCTTTGTTTTCACTTTAGTTCATTCCGTTAAATTAGTTTTCCATCTATTTTGTGCACACCTTATGTGAAATAATTTTTCTTCAATAGTCTGAGACGACTTAATAGTAATTAATCGACCAATAAAAAATATTTAAAATTTCAGACTACTCTATAAGCCAAACTACCGAAGACAAACCAATTGAAAAACAAGCTGGAATTTCTTCGTTTAATTGTACAAGGACAAAAATGCAACTAAACAACTACAAGGACGAAAATGAAAATTCGAGCAAACTAGACCGGCTATTAGTGCAATTTACATAGTCCTAGTTTTATACTTTGGTCCCGCTCTCTCTGACAAAGCCCGTTTCTAGTCCTAGGGTTTAGTCTCAGGGCTTCCCTCCAAACGCATCGAGCTACGGTTTTTTGCGACTCACTCTCCCTCACCGTTTCTTCGCAACCTAAAGGTTATTTCTTCTCAGCTCCAATTTTTTTCTCAGTACCTTTACTATTATATATCTGCTTCCGTCACTTCGATTGCATTCGTTCCCAAAATCCTCGATTGCTTTGAACGAGTTGTCGAATTCTCAAAAATTGATGCTTTGAAAATCGAAACTCTACACGCTCGGTATTTTCTGTTTGGTTGCTGGGAAAGTTAGAGTAACGGATTTCCCAGAAAGGAAGTTTCAACTTCATTCGCTTTTCTGTTTTGATTGCTTTCTGGGTTTTCCAATTGTTGAGTCATCTGATTTTTGAAACTGTACATTTCATATTTTCTTTTTAGATCTCTGTTTTTTGTTTCAATTCGCAGTAATATGATATGGATGTGATGCAGGATTGGGATTTGGGATCTGAAAAGATGGGAAAAAAGAGTAAATCAAAAGCTCCCAGAGAGGTGAAAGATGATACAGTTGTAGAAGAGGAAAAGCCGCCATCTTCGGTGAAAAAGCCTACTTCTGAGGTTGATGAAACATCTGCAAAAAAGAGGAAGAAACCCGAAACTGAGAAGGGCGAGAAGTCTCCGTCTTCCGCGAAGAAGCCCGCTTCTGAGATTGATGATATATTTGCAGCGAAAAAGAAGAAAATCGGGACTGGAAAGGCTACAAAACCAAAAGAAAACGCGACTGAAAAACCCCACAAGCTCAAGACAAAGAAGATGGATAAAGGGATTAGAGATGGCGGATTTGGGGACCTGTCTTCTCAGACGAAAAAGAGAACACAGGATGGTCTTGCTGTTTATACAGAAGATGAGTTGGGAATTAACAATGCAGATGCCGGAAACACCCCGCTCTGTCCGTTTGATTGTTCTTGTTGCTTTTGAGATGCCTGCAAAATCCTAGAGACTTTCTAGTCTTAAAGATTTTCTTTTTCAATTTGAGTATGGCGAGTGTGGTTTTCGGCATTTGTTGTAATGTACACCAGAACCTGATTAAATGAATCATGATCGTGTTCTGTTAGCCTCATCTTATAAATTTGTATCCTTCTACAACGAGTTTCTCAGTTTTAATGCCAATGAAATGAAAGAGGATGTTTTGCTGCAGCTGCACTTCCCTTTTGTCTGCAGCAGACTCGAGTCTCTGATGTTTTTTTTGCTTGAATGTAGGTTCAGTCACAGAGAGTTTCTAGAATAACGGTGTAGCAGGATACGAGTGCCGTGTCGATCGGCACCATACAGCTGGTCCGACCGGCCACTCATATCCCGCAACCATTCTGCATTGGAGATTCCATGGTCACTGGCATTGGTGATACTTACTGGTACATAATAGAAATCTGTGTTCAAATGATGTAGTAATGGCCTTCAACTTTAATTTAATTGGAACGATTATCTCTCAACTAAAAATTCATTACCATCGGTCTATCAACTCATCAAAATGTGAAGCTAGTCTCTCAACTAAAATTTCATTACCAATGGTCCCTCAACTTTAACCTAATTGTAGCAATGGTCATTAAACATAACTCATTTTAACAAAACTCTGACGAAATTGACGAAAACCATAGCTACACGTTTTGATAAGTTGAGGGACCAATGGAAATAGATTTTTAGTTGAGGGACCATTGCTACAATTTATCCAAATTTCAAACTTCAAACTGAACATATGACCATAGATACTTGCTCAAAATGTGCAAAGTTGACACTCAATTTTGATTTCATTCATTGTTTTAAAATACAAGAAAGTTGTAGCACAAAAAACAAATATGCAGCAAATCCTTCAAATTTTCACCACTCAAAATCTGCAACCTGCAGCGACACAAAAATAGCAGTTCCACAGATGAATGAACAAGGTATCAAATCCAGTCACTTAAATCTCCGAATTTAAACATTATCAGTGTTCCCGCCCCATTGCACCAGAGTCCGAATCCCCCATCTTATATACTAGTGTGAATTATCGATCTCGTATACTAGAGTAGTTTAGAATGTAGCCAAAAATTGTAGCATGAAAGCAGAGAGCATTTCAAGCTATCTTCTACTGCCAATTTCATATCGGCTCCAAGCGGCGGTCAATGCACCATCAAACCGGTTCTTGCTGTTGACTCGTATGGACGGAGCTTCCCAACACTTTCACTATATCCTCATTCAATCTTATTATTCACTTACAGGTTTTCTAATCTTATCAACATATTTTTTTGGTTAATTCACCATGACAGCACATTTTTATCGACTAATACCATCGTTAAAATCAGTAACCTGTAGTTTGACAACCTGATTATTATCCTAGTTGAAATAGAATTCTTAAATTAATTTTGAGATGTGATATCGATACACCCTTCTAATTTTTTATCGTCGAATCAAATGAATTAAAGAATATCAATGACAGAAATCAACATAGGATATGTGAGAGTAAAAAAAAAATGCGTATATAACACATCCCTTAATTTTTTTAGTAAATTAATCCTTCGATGACCGATAAATTAATCCACCAGTCCATATAACACTTTGCTTTCAAATATCCAGCACGTGATTCAGTTTTAGGGGTAAATATTTGACGGTAAAATGAATGAAATTTCAATAAATCTGACGGTAAAGAATTAATTGACCAAATTCAAATAATTCAGTATATTAATTTGCCCAAAAAAATAGTTTAATTTCAAATGGAATAATAGTTTAAGATGGTCAAACGACAATTACCCACTAAAATATAGCAATTAATCAAATTACAGGTCTATCCTTCAGCCACATTGCATCAAATGCAACACCAAAAGCTAAAATCTTCCGAATCTTCACAATGTTTTTACTCAAAAAGAATCAAGATTTAGATTTAAAACACAAAACCCAACATATTATTCATAAAATTAGAAGATTTAGCTGCTTTAAATTTGAAGGAAAGCGTGGAAAAAGAACATCTTTCCTCCAATCGTGACAGTAGCTATTTCTAGGCACCATGCAAAAGGTCGCTTGTTATTGGATTTAGCAACAAACACCCGTGTCTGACTGGAGTGCCCTCATTTATTCATTCACAAATTTTAATATTTTTCATAAATCCAACCAAAATTATTTTGAAAAACAAAGATGTAGAAAAATGTACGGTGGATATTGTGTCATGAAACAAATTGGGATTTCGGTTTCATGGATCTTCACCCACTACGAACATTTACTATTGGCTCCAAGCGGCAGTCGGGTCGCCACCAATCGGGCGCCTGCTGTTGACTCGAATATGGAGCCCCGATCACATCATAACCCACTAACAAAACCCAGAATCTACAACCATATAAATATTAAATCAAATAAAAAATGAAATTTAATTACCCAGAAAGAGCTAATTGCAGGGAGGTTAGACTTTCAGATGGAATTCATGCGAGCAGGCAGAGATCGAAGTAGAAGGGGGGATGGTAGAGCGGGCAAACTACTAATTTATAGCTGCTGAGGCCACCTAACCCTAACTGTACGGAGTATTACAAAGTCGAAGCCCACTTCAAAAGCCCGCGAGGTTTTTCATCCAATTGGGTGAGCCCATTTAATTTTATCATTGTCTAGCCCTCGATCCATCCTCAAGCCCAACCCTTACGGCACGTGTTATCACGTGACTGTCGACTCTTCCTAGAAAAAAAATGGGTAAACAATGGCAGTCAGATTCTTTTAACTCCTATTCTCATCTCATTCCTCTCCTTCTCTCATATATTATTTTTTATCTTCTTATGACTGTTAACAAATTAACATAAAATATTGACGTGACTTAACCGTAACATTTCAAATAAGAGAAGAAGGAAGAAGATGAAAACTAGGAGGGGAGATGAAAAATTAATACAAATTTTTTCATTGTAATGAGAATATGAGTGATACACCACGTGTTTTTTTTTTTTTTATAAATTGTGAGAAATTGTATTTTTTAAATTATTAACTTTTAGTACACATATTCTACCATTAATATAGTGACACATGATGTATCATTCTTTGATCCAGTCACATTAAAAAAAATTTCCATGGAAACCGCCTTTTTCGAGGATGACCCAGGATCAAGTGATCCAGGCCGTTGAAATTTGATCCAACGGCTACAAACAGAGGATACCTCTAAAGTTATAATAATTATAATCGTTGGATCAAATTTTAACGATCCAGATCTTGATCCTGAGCTTTGATAGAAGAGATCCAGACCAGATCTCTTTCCCGTTTTTCGTTGGACTTGTACGCGTGGACGTTGCACTCTTCGGACACGTATTCTCAACGGAAATTAGAAATCTCAGAGGAGAGAGAGTATGTTAGGTAGTGGAGTTGGTTGGAGTCGGGCGACTTCGTTAAAAGGAAGCGCTGAAGACGTTAAAGCTTCTTCAACGATTCGACAAAAGTTTTGGGTTTCTTTTTTTTCCGCCGTCGACCACCATGGACTCCGCCACATGCTCCCGCGTTCTTCCCCAAATCAATCTCTCCCATTCAGATCGTAGAGTATCCGCGTAAGCCCTCGAAATTTTATTATATTTTATTTTTTTCTGGTTTGTTTTGCAATTTGGATCAGTAAATGGCTCTTTTATTTAATTAGATTCGTGTTTAGAGTTAATCGCGCGAGAAAATCCTAGTAATATCTTGGGTGAGAGCTCTATATTGTATGGCTATCCCGTTTCCGTTGTATTGAAAGTTTGCATTTTCCCTGCAACCAAACAGAAATCGAATTATGTTTGGGTCTTGGTTTATTGGTTTGGCTAAGCTGAGATTTGGCTATATGTGTAAATTTGCATTTTCCCAGCAACCAAACAGAAAAGTTTGCATTTTTACGACAACCAAACAGAAAGTTTGCATTTTTACGACAGCCAAACAGCAACAGGAACATTGAATTATGGCAATCGAATTATGTTTGAGTTTTGGTTTATTGGTTTCAGACTTTCATTTAAGCTAGCTAAGATGAGATTTTGACTAACCGTCTAAATGTAATTTTAGTGGTAGGTCGGGATCTGCCTCTTTCCGTTCATCCAGGGGATTGAAAATTTCGAAACAGCTCACAGTTTCATGCTCTGCAGCGAGTGATAAAGGAAATGACATGTTTGGGTTATCACATTATTCTAAGAAAAACCCTGTTGGGGAAGTATTATGTCCGGCGGGTGTATGCACTTATGGTGGGACTGGTGTAGAGTCTCATTCCCATGTTGGGGAAGAGAAGGTTGGAGTGCTGCTTCTGAATCTTGGAGGACCTGAGACGCTTAATGATGTTCAGCCGTTTTTGTTCAATCTTTTTGCCGACGGTATGTTCATCTGCTTTTGGTGCCTTGCCTTATTGGTGTCAGCATGAGTTATTCACTTAATGCACTCATTACTAACATATTCACGTGTTGTGGGAGACAGGATATCATTCGCCTCCCAAGGTTGTTTCGGTTTCTCCAGCAACCATTGGCGAAATTAATTTCTGTGCTTCGAGCCCCAAAAAGCAAAGAAGGTTATGCTGCTATAGGAGGTGGTTCACCATTGCGTAAAATTACAGATGAGCAGGTAGAGCAATATACATAACATGCCTGTTGAAATGTTTTCTTTAGTTTTTATTTGTATAATCTTGTCCTGTTTCCTTACCGCACAAAAAATAAAAAATAAATCAATTATATTCTACAAGAATGTATCATTTGAGAATATTTGGTGGTTTGTTAGGTACGTTTTGTTATATTTTCTCATACGTAGGTGGCTTGTTACAGGCAAATGAACTCAAAAAGACTCTGGAATCGAAGGACTTGCCTGTTAATGTTTATGTGGGAATGCGTTATTGGTACCCGTTTACTGAGGAAGCAGTTCAGCAAGTGAGTCTTAAATTTCAGTAACTTAGTAATATTTTTATATTTGCCGTTGGTTCCAGGCAATGTAAAGGATATGGGACAATAGATTGTAACCTAAAAGTCTCCCAATGTTTATATTGGTTAGTCTTGAATTTGTAGTTACTCATCATGGGGCATCTTCTAATTGAATGGATCAAATGACTAACAGTTTTCCACATTATCTGTGACAGATTAAGAAAGACAGAATAACCAGGCTTGTGGTCCTGCCTCTATACCCTCAGTTCTCTATCTCTACAACTGGATCAAGCGTTTCTGTGCTCCGGGATATTTTCAGGTGATAGTTTGCTGTCAGTTTATGAAACTACTTATGTCTGTTTACAATGGTCAGTTTTCTGAATGTGAGTGCCCATCTTGCAGGAAAGATGCGTACCTATCAAGGATGCCTGTTTCTATTATAAACTCGTGGTATCAACGTGAAGGCTATCTTAAGTCAATGGCTGACTTGATTTCCAAAGAGCTAGAAAGTTTTTCTGAGCCTGCAGAGGTGCGCTTGATGCTTCTATTGAACATATGCTTTAAATTCATCAGAAATGGCTCTTTTGATGAAATTAAATTTCACTTTTTTTGGTTTATAGATTTTGTTATTGAACGTATGTTTTCATTGTACGGTTATTGCATGAAATTCACAGCTCAGGTAAGCGTTGCTTATTGTGTATGAAATTCAGGTCATGATATTCTTCAGTGCCCACGGAGTACCGCTCAGTTACGTGGAGGATGCCGGAGATCCTTACAAAGATCAAATGGAGGAGTGCATCTTCTTAATAATGAAAGAGCTGAAATCTAGAGGAATCAACAATGAACATACCCTTGCTTACCAGGTGGGTTATAAAACTCTATTTTCTGAGTCCTACATTTTACTTTTCTACCTTTTTTGGTTCTCAGAACTACCGTCAGTTGTTGTCCATCACGTATGGCTACAACTTTCTTTATGTTGTTTTCTGATTTTCTTTCCCTTATTTTGGGGTCGGGTGGTGATCAGAGCCGAGTTGGTCCTGTGCAATGGCTAAAGCCCTACACTGATGAAGTTCTTGTTGAGCTTGGCCAGAAAGGCGTGAAAAGTCTCCTAGCTGTTCCAGTCAGGTACTTAACTTTGTTTCTGGCCCCGGGCATTATTTGGTTATTTCTCTCACGGAAGTATAGTAAGTTAATTTGACATCTAAATTTTTTTTATCCAGCTTTGTGAGCGAGCACATAGAGACTCTTGAAGAAATTGATATGGAGTACAGGGAATTGGCCCTTGAATCTGGCATTGAGAATTGGGGCCGAGTCCCTGCCCTTGGTTGTACTCCTTCGTTTATAACAGACCTGGCAGATGCAGTAATAGAAGCCTTACCACTTGCAACAGCCATGTCAACCCCACAAACTACCTCAGAAGTAGTCGATCACGACCCCCTGAGATACGCTATCAAGATATTCTTTGGTTCCTTTTTGGCATTTGTTTTGTTCTTCTCCCCGAAAATGATCATGGCTTTCAGGAACCACCTGATTTAAGGAAGGTATTAAGCTTTCACATACACAGAAAATAGATTACGAGTCAGAACACCACGAAGAATCCCCCATTCGCTTCCAATTGATCCTCAACTCCATACGGAACAAGCTTTGCAGTTTCCAAGAGATAAGTTTTGTATTTAGCCCATTCTTCCTAAACGTAAATTTTTTGATAATGTTTTGGTGAACATGCTTTGATTCGTGAGGCATATCTTAGATTCTACTTTGTACGTTTTGGATGTTATGATTTGCACGTAAAGCTGGTTTACGATAACTGTTTTGAGTATAATCATCTGCTTCTGGTTTCTTACGTCCATCTCCGGTCGGACTGACAGTTTCCTTTCGATTTCTCCCTTGTAGCCGGTACCCAAACTCGACAGTCCGGCATCCTCGCTAACCACTATACAGGTTTCCAGTTCAGATGTAAAACAAAAGTACAGAGCATTGTATGTACTAAAAAGGGTGCTAACATATGAAAATCAAAATAATTTTTCAAGTCGTATTTTCATCGTATCTGTCGAAAAGAAGATAATATATGGAAATCAAAATCAACTGATGAGAATGTGAACGTCGATACTTCACATGGTCACAATCTCAGCAGCGTCTAAACGCGGTAACCTGTGAATGTGAATCCTCGACCTATCATCTCACCGGCACAAAACCAGGCGAAGCATTCTAAGCCGAACAGGGCAGCTATTCCGGCATCCTCCACCCTCAGCGCCGGCCTGTTCTTCCACGTTTGCTTGACCGAATCAAGCTCCTTCTGAAATGTTTCATACCGCCCCGGTATACTGCATGAGACAAAGATAATGATTAGAGACTACCCGTATGGCATCCATGTATCATATTTTGACGTCACACTATCCTGACCAACTGGCCTAACTTTCGTCTGCAAGAATTGAAAGTTATTAAACGGCTGACCTAGCAAGACGGGTATAGAACAAGTGTTTGGACAAAAGGCTGCATTTTTCAGCAGTGGGAGGCTCCTGAACGTAATGCCTGTTCTTCTCCAATACCTGCTTGTAATAGGAAGATCCGTACTCTGACACAACCCTTGAAGCTTGAGTTGCCTTGCCTTGCAACTGAAGAAACACCTTCGATGCCATCACTCGTCCCTGAAATCCAAATAACCCCACAAAATGGTAACTTTATTTTTTTTATATATACAAGCAATAGTGCGGGAAGAGGGAATCAAACTCCGAACTTGAGTGCAGAGATAATTGTTCTTATTCAAATGCATCATGACTCTTATCTCAAAATTAAATCACATATCATAATGGAAATTAATCCAAAGTAAAAACAAAATCCGATGTAAAAGAACTAAACCTAGATTTTAAATTGAAAATTCATAATAATAATAAATAAATAAATAAGATTGTATACCTTAGTGCTCTGGTTTTTTAGCTGAGGGGAGTGGAAATTAGGGTTTTTATTAGGATGCAGCGGTGGAGTAGCCACCAAGAAAAGTTTGATGTGATATTTCCACGTCATTAAAGCCAATTATATTAAGAAAAATTAACGAAAAAGTTCAAAAAAACTTCTCTTTTAACGAAAAACCTTTTTTAAAGGTATAGTGAATAGTGACAGTTAAAGGTAAAAATATGGTTTTTTCGTTAAAAATAAACAGTACCGGGAGTATTTTATTAAAACTCCCTATATTATAATATAGGATGAAATCGGACTACCCGACTCATAAGTACGTGGTTTTTCAAGATTTAATTTACATATGCGGTAGTAGGGTAAATGTTGTACGGTCCTATCATTTATTGAGTAATATATGTATGCTTAATCAAATTTTAATTCTAGTACTAGACACCGAAAATATAATCGAACACTATTTGTCCACTGAAGCACATAATGTAATGTTCTTTAATTTTAAGAAGCTTACAGTCGTATTAAAATATCTGCAAAATTGATTACCATACTCAAGTTCGGATCATCCCTTAAAATTAGGTCAATCAAAATCGTTCCTGAAAATAAAAAAACAAGTTCACACGTCAAAATAAATATGTTTTTAGGGTTTTGGGTTCATTTAGACTTGTATTTTCACATTTTTTTTGTTGAGACTCAATTGTATTTAAATCTCCCTTGTAAGAACATCAATAAGCAAATAAGGGACGAACGGAAACAAAGAAAGAGAATTTGGATAGATATCAATACATCCAACAAGTTCTTGCAATTACCAAATCCCCTGAAATCCGAAATACCGAAAACATAAGTACAATGTTCACCAAATACTAACCTCACTAGCGTTACTACTACAGAAAATACAATGAAACATCACCAAGTACCCAAAACGCCATAACGCATCAACTCTGAGGGGAAGTTTTGGCAACTCCACTTGGGGGAGCAGTCTGTGAAGCAGGTGGCGGAGCATCATAGGTCACACGAGCGTTCCCATTTGTGCTGGTATCAGCAGAGTAAGGAGGAGGTTGTGCATATCCAGCACCATAAGATGCGTTGTAGGGTGGTGGCACCTGCCCATATCCTGGCTGGCCAGCTGGTGGTGCGCCATAGGATGGAGGCCCATACCCGGTCTGTGGTGCTGCAGCACCATAGCCAGATGTAGGGGGACGGGTAACAGGATCTGGCTGAGCATATCCAGAAGCTGGAGGCTGAGAATGCGGGTATCCTGGCTGCACAGGAGCTGGCTGGCCATAGCCTCCTGGAGTGCTGGGGGATTGAGCAGTTTGCCCATAAACTGCAGGATTTGCAGGAGGCTTTTGTGCTGGTGGTGCTCCATATCCAGCTCCATATGCAGGCTGAGCCGGTGGTTGGCTTCCATAACCAGTTTGAGAAGTTGGGGGTGCTCCATAACCTGGCTGAGTAGAACCTTGGGGTGGATAACCAGCAGGGTTAGGGCTAGGCTGTTGACCGGCATTGTATCCTTGCTGAGCAGGAGGCGCCTGAGCTGAATCCCCCTGAGATCCATAAGAGGGTGTATGCCCATCTTGAGGTGGGTTACTCACATTACCATAGCCTGCTGCAGAATAACCCTGCTGTTGATCATATGCCGGTGGCTGACCATACCCAGATTGAGGTGGTGCAGGATATCCTTGAGCATACCCTTGTCCTTGTTGATTATAGCCTGAAACTGGCGGCGGGCCATAATTGTAACCAGCACCATCAGCAGGAGCAGCAGGACCTCCAGGATTTTGCTGTTGATGTGAAGGTTGTTGCTGGCCATAGTAATCATAACCACCACCCTGGGACGTCTGCTGAGTTGGAGCAGCAGCCGACTGGTCCCAACTGGACGGATAGCCACCAGATGTTGGTTGAGGAGGATAGCCTGGGTAAGAAGGCTGAGACGCATTATACTGATGTGGTGGGGCAGAATACCCTCCAGACTGTCCGTATCCATAACTAGGTTGTTGCATTGAGGGACCAGAAGGAGCCCATCCTGAGGGTGGTCGTGCTTGATAACCTTGCTGAGAGTATCCTCCAGACGTTGCTGGATTTCTAACACGGTTCTGCAATAAAATTATTCTCACAAATAACCATGGTGTACTTCCCATGATGTTGGGACATATGGAGGAACAAAAAAACACAGAATGTACAAAAGCAAACATTGGAAAACATGTATAAAAGAAAATTTCTATGATTCAACAGACATAACAGATCGGAAAAACAAATACATTCATATAGTGATTAATGGATTTCATTATTATATTGGGAAGAGGTGTAAACGCCTACATACCGTACCAGTGGTTGTATAAATTGAGTTACTCCAGCAGAGGTCCACACTCTCCCTATTTGAAGTGAATGGGTTCGGAAAATAACAAAACACTATATAGAAGCTTTTATGTAAAAACAAACTTCCATATAGCCTTAATTGTGACGATAGACAGTCATAAAAACAAGTGCAAAATGCACACAGTAAAACATTACCAAATATCAAAGTATGCATAGGTATTAATTAAACATAATATAAGAGACCGATAATTAGACATCTAAGAAAGAATTTCAGACCAGAAGACATTGTCCATGCACTAATACATCACAAATGGGCTACCAGATGTGGTATGATCAGTAAATTCCAAACAAAAGGTATCTAAGCTTATGCGAAAAAAGTAAATCATCAGTACAGAAAACCTGTTATGTCAACCAGGGACATTAGTTCATAGATCATCTTAGATGCTAGCATAAAAAGACCCTTGGATCCTCCCGCAAGTGTGTAGCTGAATCATTATTGGCCTAATAATATCCCAAATAAGCAGCAAGAATCTCTCCAGGATTTAATAAAAAGAACAGAAATATAGCAAGAAAAGGGACAAGAGGTTCTGAACAATTAGGATGAAGGACCCTCAATATTTGTACTCTAATAAAAAATTAAGAAAATACTCCTTATAAGAAATAAGCTATAATATAGAATAAAAAACGAAAGCATATAAACAGGAAAAAGAATGGAGAAATAAACAGAAAGCAGGTGAGGCTGACTGATCATAAAATTCAAGTTCAGCAAAAATAAGCTGGCCTTCAATAAACTGGTACTCAGATATTAATTCCAGCAGAAGACAGGAAAACAAATTTTATGGAAGCCAACCAAAACTGTTCAATATCTTGACAAAAGATTCACAGAAATTCTCACAAAGATAAAGCTATAAAACATTTTAAAAACACTACAGAATAAACAGTATATATACTTGTAAAATAATACCAAGATAATAATTTGATAAGAGGCTTCAACACAGCAAAGCACCACATAATTATGACAAAATAAAAAATACTCAATAGAAAAGCTATGACATAAAGTCCATTATTCCAACATTATACTAATTCACAACTAATTAATGTATTTAGAATAAAATGGTTCAAATTTTCTAGGAGTTATGCTATTAACCTTCAATCCCTCCAACAGAAGGCTTCACTCCGCAATATCATTACTAAATACCAGAAAACAGGATTTAGAACCATACCAGAGTGATGCTAAGGGAACACCAACACAAAGGATTCACCAACACAAAGGATTCCGTGTTGGTGTCACCAACAGTCCAATACAAACTAACCCTACAATAATTCCCAATAAGAATCAGTTATATGATATAAGAGAAATAAGTATATTGATGGTAGATCAAGCTGTTGTCCCAATAATTTTTCACTTAATGAACCAATAATCGTAATGTTAAACATTATGAGAGTTAATGAAACTTTAATGTAACTTAATAACCTAAACCTGTAATATGAACTCCCGTAAACTAAATTCCCAATAAGTGCATATGGCCAAGAACAGCCCAATGTGTTGTAATCACTCCTCCAAATATTTGTTCAATCTTAAAGGTCAAATAAGCCAATATCTGCATCAATCATATGGGAAGAAGAAACTTATTGCATCCATTTATGATAACAATTCAGATGACCCTGCAGGTTTATACAATTAAAGCTAAATCTATATGACATCTAAATGGATTTCGCAGAGGTGAAATCGTGCCAACCAGTTTCTTAAGTTGAAACCAGATCCCAGCAAATGCTACAAAACCCAAAGAATAAATACTTGCATAAAGAGGCTCCTTCCAGTGTTCACTTGACATGTTAGACTCAATCTCTGCCAGCTACACTGTGCATGGCAAAAAGATCAGCACAAAAAAAAATCTGAATTAATAAGATCTAAAGCCAAAAAAGACAATTGAGAACCATACAAACTTATCCAATCCTCATAAAATCATAATATTTGGGTCATGAACATATTCAAAATACCAAGTGCCGTAACCACTAACCAGTACAACATTAGGGATACTGTGGTCCACCATTGGCCGAAAATATAAAGTCAGCAATAGTTCGACTGGAATTAGTATCTACACCTTACATGACACAGTGGAAAAATTGCACAACCAGATAGACTACAAAATACATACCTAGAACAATTGTACAATGTAAATGCAACTAACCAGCATAAAAGTCAAATCCATAAAATAAAGAGAACGAAAAGGTAGAGAAACTCAATTTAGAGACAGAAATGTAGCATCATGCAAAACATAAAATGCAAAATGAAAATAAAAAAGAGACGAACTCATTATCAGGGAAAATGTTTAACAATATCAAGAGATAAAACTGTCCGAGGGCTTATCAGAAAATGGTACGGATTAATTGAGCTCAAAATTTAAAATTAAAAAAACATACACAAAGCCCTGCAAGGAAAAAAATTAATACCAAAGCAAAATGCAAAAAGATAAACCTAGCAACCAGGTTGGTTAACCTAATT